CCTTCACAGATTACTTAGGAATCGGGATCTCGCTGCCCTTCGTGGCCCCGTTGCAGCCCTTCGTGGCCCCCTCGCCGCCCTTCGTGGCCCCGTTGCAGGCCTTCGTTGCCCCCTCACTGCCCTTCGTGGCCCCCTCGCTGCCCTTCGTGGCCCCCTCGCTTTGTTTCGTGGCCCCGTTGCAGCCCTTCGTGGCCCCCTCGCTTTGTTTCGTGGCCCCGTTGCAGCCCCTCGTGGCCTCCTCGTTGCCCTTCGTGGCCCCGTTGCAGCCCTTCGTGGCCCCCTCGCTTTGTTTCGTGGCCCCGTTGCAACTCTTCGTGGCCCCCTCGCTGCCCTCCGTGGCCCCGTTGCAACCTTTCGTGGCCCCGTTGCAGCCCTTCGTGGCCCCCTCGCTGCCCTTCGTGGCCCCGTTGTAGCCCGTCGTGGCCCCCTCGCTTTGTTTAGTGGCCCCATATAGGTATGCCCTTCGTGGCCCCCGCTTGTTCGCGCCCGTGGTGGCCCCATATGCATGCCCTTCGTGGCCCCGCTGTCGCCCTTCGTGGCCCCCTCGCTGCCTTTCGTGTGCCCGTGGCTGCCCACAGTGGCCCCGTCCTTACCCTCAGCGGCCCAACATACGTATGCCCTTCGTGGCCCCCGCTCGTTCGCGCCCGTTGTGGGCCCATGTGCATGCCCTTCGTGGCCCCGGTGTCGCCGTTTGTGGTCCCCTCATTGTCCTACGTGGCCCAGTTGCTACCCTTAGTGGCCCCATCGTTGTCTTCTGTGGCCCCGCATTATCTGCACTTCGTGGCCCCCGCTCGTTCGCGTTTTTCGTGGCCCCATACGCATTCCCTTCGTGTCCTCGCTGTCGCCCTTCGTGGCCTACTTCGTGTCCTTCGTGGCCCTGCTGTCGTTCTCTCTCGCTCTCGCTTTCGCTCGTCGTCGTCGTCGCCGTCGCCGTCGTTTCCGTCGTCGTCGACGTCGTCGCCGTCGTCGTCGTCGTCGTCGTCGTCGTCATGGTCGGTCCCCTGTCCGTCCCTCTCGGGGTCGGGTCGACGGTCCGCGGCCGCCCCGCCGATCAGCGCTGCCGCTGGCCAGGCCGACGGTCCGCGGCCGCCCCGCCGCTTGCCGGGGCCCGGTCTGCAGGGAAGAAAGGTATACCCCCCAAAAGGGGTTCGATCGAAGACGAAAAGAGCGGGTATCGAGGGTTTGGGACATTCGCATTATTCAACACTCGCGCAGATAAGGGCGAACAGTCTTAAAATGTTGTTGTTGTTGTTGTTGTTACTGTGATTGTTATTGTTATTGTTATTGGTATTGGTATTGTTATTGTTATTGTTTTTGTTATTGTTATTGTTGTTGTTGTTGAACATTATTTATTCTAAAGAATAATTATTGTTGGGCCCCCTGGTGCGCGCCCCCCCTGCGCCGCCTAGGCCGCAGCTACATTTTCATCATTTTCGCGAGGAAGCCTCAGAAAAGAGGGTGTGTACAGGATCCGGTTGTTTTGTTGTAATCCGCTTTCCCTTGCAAAAAACAATAGAAAATGACATTTCTTGTTCTAATATAATCAAATTTCAAGAATCCCTTGCAAAAAATAAGGTAAAGTGGACATTCGCGCGCGCAAGACGAAATCCTTCCAAAACCTTAGTGTTCGAGCGATTTTAACATAAAAACATCAAAAAACCAATGGTTTTTCAACAAAAAAATGTCAAAATCTCATCCCGCGCGCTCTTGCGGATTCGTAGGAAACCCAACACTTTTTAAACATTTCTGTCAAACGGGCTTTTGCGAGCAACTTTTTCGAACTTCTGCGACAACGGTTGCGCACCTGCCAGGGCCATCATCCCTGTCAAATAATACCATGCGGGACACATTCGTTTTTTCTTCGCGCGCGCACGCCGTCGTCGTCGGCCGCGGGGCCCTGAATAGTAGCCACGGTCGTCCGCATGCCACGAAGTGAAGTGTCCGAACGTCATAGGGCGGGAAGCTGGGTGTGGGTGGTGGCGAAGAGTCGTTTGGAAATTTGGTAGAGCTTGAACCGGCCCCCCCACAAAGTGGGGGTATTGCCCGCCTCCTATGAAAACCCTGGCACTGGTGAGAACGGAGTGTCCCCACGTGCTAGTAATTGTTGTTGTTGTTGTTGTTGTTGAACATTATTACTTCTAAAGAATAATTATTGTTGGGACCCCTGGTGCGCGACCCCCCTCCAAAACCTAGGCCGCAGCTACATTTTCATCATTTTTTAGCGAAAGCTTCAGAAAAGTGAATTATTACCGGATCCGGTTGTTTTGTTGTACTCCGTTTTCCCTTGCAAAAAACACTATAAAATGAAAATTCTTGTTCTTACTTGATCAAATTGCAAGAATCCCTTGCAAAAAATAAGGTAAAGTGGACATTCGTGCGCGCAAGACGAAATCCTTCCAAAACCTTAGGTTTCGTAACGATTTTAACATAAAAACATCAAAAACCCAATGGTTTTTTAAGAAAAAATTGTCAAAATGTTCTTCCGCGCGCTCTTGCGGATTCGTAGGAAAACCAACACTTTTTAAACAATTCTGTCAAACGGGCTTTTGCGAGCAACTTTTTCGAACTTCTGCGACAACGGTTGCGCACCTGCCAGGGCGCTGTCTCTCGCTCTTTCTCTGCTTCATATCTATCATACGTAACACATCTACTTGTGTAATCGCCTTCCCAGGAATTTGCCTCAAAAATGTGACCACCTATCTTGGCACTGCGTACCATCTCACGTGTACCGTGTACCACATCTTCTCAGGTTGCCTCACACATGTGACGAATCTCTTTCTATCTCTCTCTCCACTGGCTCTCTGTCTTGCTCTCTCTCTCTCTCTCTCTCTCTCTCTCTGTCTCTCTGTACTATGTATGTCATACGCAACAAATGCACCATGCGGGGCACATGCGGGGCCCAAACAAGTGATCAACCTCTGCGGGTGTGTACTCCACGCCAGTGTAGTATCCACGATCGTCCGCGCGCCACGAAGTGAAGTGTCCTGACGTCATAGGGCGGGAAGCTGGGTGTGGGTGGTTCCCTAGAGTCGTGTGGATGTTTGGTAGAGCTTGCATTGCCCCCCCACGAAGTGGGGGTATTGGCTGGCGTCGCATGAAAACCCTGGCACTGGGGAGGACACTGAGCGTTCGGGTAAAATGATTGTTGTTGTTGTTGTTGTTGTTGTTGTTGTTGTTGTTGTTGTTGTTGTTGTTGTTGTTGTTGAATTCTCACTTCTGAAGAATAATTATTGTTCATCCCCCCTCACCGGTGCATACGGTTTTTTCTCAATCAAAGTGTGCCCCTCGACGCTCGCACCCTGTTTTTGTCAGGGAAAGTCTTCCTGCTCAAACTGGCTCCCTGGCCCCCGGGTTACAACAACAACGGCTCCCGCCTGAGACTTCCTTACAATTTAGGCAAGACCCCCGCTCCCGCCCGAGACTTCCTCGCATTTTATTCAGGAATCGCGCTCTCGCTTGGGACTTCCTTACAATTTATTCAGGAATCGCTCTCCCGGAGCTCTGGAGTCGCGCTCTCGCTGGAGACTTGCTTTCGACTTACTGAAGAATAGCCTTGCGTTGGAATTTCCTGCAATTTGCCCAAGCGCCGCGTTCCCGACACCCAGGCACCCAGGAATCGCGCCCGTTGTGGCCCCATGTGCGCGGGAACAGAGGGCACTCCAGCCAAACGTACCAGGTCGGGTGTGCCCGGCTGTGGGGGCGCGCGCCGCGCTGCGGGATGAGCCGCGGCTGGGCAGCGCGCGGTGCGGCGCGCAGGACGGGAGGGCGCGTTCAGAGCGCCGCTTAGTAGCAGGAGAAATAGCAATAAAAAGACAAGGAGGAAAAGGACGACGACGACGAACACGAAGACGATGACGACGACACACACCGACGACGACGACGACGACGACGACGACGACGACGACGACGACAGCGACAACGATCATTTTAAGATTGTTCGCGCTTACTGGCACGCGTGTCTAGCATTCCGTATACCCCAACCCGCGATACCCGCCCACTTCGTCTTCGATTGCACCCCCTTTCGGGGGGAATTTCTTCCTTGTCGGCCACTGACCGAAGTGTGAGGAAGTGTCGAAAGAGAGAGAGAGAGAGAGAGAGAGAGAGAGCGCCGTTCCTGAGTTCGGGGGCCTCTCTCGCCAGGAGCCCTCGGACTGCCTATGGAGAAATATTGAGCGGGAACCCTTGTCGCCGTGTCCGGGCCTCCACCAACTTGCCTGAATTACGAGAAATTCTCGGGCGAGAGCGCTGTTTCTGAGTTCGGGGGCCTTCTTGGCCAGGGGCTCTCGGAATAAATCGTGAGGGAGTCTCGAGCAGGCGCCCTTGTCGTCGTGGCTGGGCCTCCGCCAACTTGATTGACTTGAGAGGGAGTCTCGAGCGAGAGCGCCGTTCCTGAGTTCGGGGGGCCTCTCTGGCCAGGGTGTCTCGGGGTAAATAATGAGGACGTATCGAGAGGGAGCCGTTGTTGTCGTAACTGGGCCCCCAAGGGCCCACATTTAGGCTCAAACTAACGCTCCAGCGGGAGCCTCGTTTTCAGAGAAAATGTAGACGGCGTCGAGGCGAGAGCGCGCGGAACCGTTTCCGGAGATCAGCAATAATACTTTAGAAACGAGTCTTCAAAGAGGGAAGGAGGACGAGGGAAAGAAGACGAGCAATGTTCGGCAGGGTGGTCTGTAATTCGTCCCGGCCTGCACCACATCCCGTGCAGCCAGTCTCGATCGGGCGATGCCTGGCAGGCAGGAGGGGAAGAGAGACGGGGGAGCGTAGGAAGGATATGCATCCATGATTCCATGAGTCCGTCAGGATGTTAGCTTAGCATATACACGCGCAAACACATAGTGTACACGATGCTGCAGAATCACGCCTAGCATTGCTGTAATTATGAATGTCGGCGTTGGGATGGCAGCTTCCCTCGTTCTCTCGTGCACGCATGCACATACATATACACAGACGCGTATGTTCATGTGTATGAGAGGTGCGTGCCCACACACGTGGCAACGATCGTGTTTTGCGGGGCGACTTCTGTGAGTCCTGAGTTGGTCAGACCACATGGCTACTGTACAATGCCTCTCCGCCTGACCAAACAGCACGCAGCTACGTACACAATATCATGTCATGCCTCATTCTCTTCGAGCTCTGCGCCCAAACAGGCTGGGTCCTCTCTCAAAGAATATCACGAGCTGCCCTTGCCGCCAGCCTTGCCACCTTTACGAAATCTGAGGCCAAGAGCGCCAGCAGGGTTGTCTGCGTCTCTCTTGCCCTTGCCCTTGCCCTTGCTCTTGCCCTGGCGTGCACAGAGGAGGATGAAGAGGAAACGGAGAAGAAGCAAGAGGGGGAGCAAGAGCAGGAGGAGGAGGAGGAGGAGGAGGAGGAGGAGGAGGACGAGAAGGAGGAGAAGCAGGAGGAGAAGGAGGAGGAAGAGGAAGAGAAGGATGAGATCCTTCAGAAGCCGCTCGCTGCCTGTCGCCGCCGCATACGCGGCCTGCTGCCGCCTGTGCTCGAAATAAAGTCGCTGCTCTTCCAAGCGCCGCTTGGCCCTGTTCGCCACGTCCAGGAGCACCTGGGAGGAAGCACACAGCTGCTGCAGGGCCACGGTGCTCCTCTCGGCGCTGCTGGCGAATCGCATGTCCCTGAAGCGACGACGCCAACCATCCACCGAAACGCAACGATCCTGGCCAAGCCAAAATCCCGGGGACGGGGAGGGGGAGGAGCAGGAGGAGGAGGAGGAGGAGGAGGAGGAGGAGGAGGAGGAGGAGCAGGAGGAGCAGGAGGGGGAGGAGGAGGAGGAGGAGGAGGAGGAGGAGGAGGAGGAGGAGGAGGAGGAGGAGGAGGAGGAGGAGGGGGAGGAGGAGGAGGAGGAGGAGGAGGAGGCCAGGACCAGCGGTTTGCGGGCGGATCGCGGGCGCCCCCCCGCCTGTCCACGCACAGCCACCGCCCGGTGCCCACGCCCTGCAGAGCCACCCTGCCGGGGTCCCCCTCGGGATCCGCGCTCGCCACGAACTGCGCGAAGCGCCCGCCCTTCCCCTCCAGGTCCACCTCGCCGCTCCTCCGCACCCTCAGGCGTCCTGATTCGGATGTCGCTAGAAGTGCCCCTGGCCCAGGGTACCCCCAGCTTTCCGCTCCATTTTTGGAGCCCCTGGGGCCCTCTGGGCCTCGTGAGGGGCGCCCTGGAGGCTGTCTGGGCCACCCCGAGAAACCTAGGGGTACCTTGGCCCAGGGGTACTTCTAGCAACACCCGACTGATGGGAAACGTTATGGGGGGGGGCCAGCTAAGGGGGGGGGAACACATCGAGCTGGCATCGGCGACACCTCGCGGCGAGGGGCCCCCGATAGCGGATCCGCACTGTCGTGGGTGGGGTTGGGCTATCCGGCCCCTGTCGACGATCAGTGGACGGGGGTCGATGCCGCCTTGCCTGAGCCTATCCTTAGGTCGGGCATGTCCTCCTCCTGGCGGATTTGGGGCGATGTTTCGTTCAAAATATTCAAAACTTGTCAAAAAATCGTCCCCATATTATTTTCTTCCTATGCTGGAGTCTTCCTCCTGTAGAGGGACATGCCCGACTTAAGCCTATCCCCCCCACCGTTGCGGCCAGTTGGGGTGATCTGGGTGCCCCTGGGACGCTCTCGGCGAGGCCCGGCTGCTGGAGAGCATTCCAGGGCTGGAGAAGCGCCGAGAAGCGACGAACACGGTCCAACAACTCGAGCCGTGAACCACGAAAACTGAACTATGTCGTTGCCCCCCTGAGTCTATCTAGAGAAACTAGCAATGACATAAACATAATAACTGAGGTCCGCTCGGATTTCTCGGATCGGCGCTGGGGCCCCCAGCGGCGCTGGCGCCGCCCCTGGCGCGCTCCGCGCGCCAGGGACGGGGGTCCAGCGTGGATCCAAGAAATCCACGCGGACCTCCGAGTTTTTCAGTTATGCCACTTTTGAGCCCCTGCTATCCCCCCCCCCCCCCGACGTTGCCCCCGATGTCCCTGGAGCCGCCTGCCGTCGTCGCTGATGCACCACAGGCGCAGCGCGCCCTGATCGGCTGCACACGAGAGGGACCCTAGATAGGCAAGGGTGATCTTTGGTGCGCGGCTGACCCCCTAGGCAAGGGCGACCTTTTGGTGCGCGGCTTTGCGGGGCCGCGGGAAGGCAAAGCCCCAGTGCGCCAGCCATTCCTGGGGGGACCCTGTTCGGGCGGGAGGGGGGGGAGGAGGAGGAGGAGGAGGAGGAGGAGGAGGAGGAGGAGGAGGAGGAGGAGGAGGAGGGAGGAGGAGGAGGAGGAGGAGGAGGAGGGGTGAACAAAAAGGAGGAGGAGGAGGAGGAGGAGGAGGAGGAGGAGGAAGTGGAGGAGGAGGAGGAGGAGGAGGAAAAGGAGGGGTGAAGAAAAGGCCCCTTTAGGGCCCTCCATCTGGGTCACCCCCCATCACCACCCGACCGACTGTGGGCCCGCACCAACGGTCACTGCGGTTACGGGGTCACTCTTACTCGTGGCCTTCCTGTGGCGTCCGCTCCACCAGGAAGCGGGGAGACTCCTTGGCGCCCGGGAAGGCCACCACCGCCGATACCTCCAGCGCGGCCAACCCGCGGCGATCCTCCACTGAAGGCCCCTCGGCGAGCTGGGTCGCGCTCAGCCCGATCTCGCCCGCGCCGGGGCCGCCTGGGGCGAAGAGATCTATACTTAGGTCTGGCATGTCCTCCTACAGGCGGATTTTGGTGGAAACATGGGAAACAATGAAAACATGCTAAAAAACATTATCCTGGCGAAAGACCCAACCATAAGCAATTGTTGGTAACGCGTTGTGGGTGCCGCTTTCGGTGGGGCTCCATATGGGGCCACGAAGCGCTGCCTTGGATGGGGGAACCGCATGCGGACTGCGCCACCGGGGCGGGCCTTCGGTGGAGCTCCCTATGGGGCTACGAAACGCGCTGCCCTGGGTGGGGGAACCGCATGCGAACTGCGCCACTGGGGCCTTCGGTGGAGCTCCCTATGGTGCCACGAAACGCTGCCCTGGGTGGGGGAAGCGCATGCGAACTGCGCCACGGGGGCTTTCGGTGGAGCTCCCCATGGGGCCACGAAGCGCTGCCCTGGGTGGGGGAACCGCATGCGAGACAGCCACTGGGGCCTCGGTGGAGCTCCCTATGGGGCCACGAAACGCTGCCCTGGGTGGGGGAACCGCATGCGAACACCCCCACTGGGGCCTTCGGTGGAGCTCCCTATGGGGCCACGAAGCGCTGCCCTGGGTGGGGGAACCGCATGCGAACACCCCCACTGGGGCCTTCGGTGGAGCTCCCTATGGGGCCACGAAACGCTGCCCTGGGTGGGGGAACCGCATGCGAACACCCCCACTGGGGCCTTCGGTGGAGCTCCCTATGGGGCTACGAAACGCTGCCCTGGGTGGGGGAACCGCATGCGAACACCCCCACTGGGGCCTTCGGTGGAGCTCCCTATGGGGCCACGAAACGCTGCCCTGGGTGGGGGAACCGCATGCGAACACCCCCACTGGGGCCTTCGGTGGAGCTCCCTATGGGGCTACGAAACGCTGCCCTGGGTGGGGGAACCGCATGCGAACACCCCCACTGGGGCCTTCGGTGGAGCTCCCTATGGGGCCACGAAACGCTGCCCTGGGTGGGGGAACCGCATGCGAACACCCCCACTGGGGCCTTCGGTGGAGCTCCCTATGGGGCTACGAAACGCTGCCCTGGGTGGGGGAACCGCATGCGAACACCCCCACTGGGGCCTTCGGTGGAGCTCCCTATGGGGCCACGAAACGCTGCCCTGGGTGGGGGAACCGCATGCGAACACACTGGGGCCTTCGGTGGAGCTCCCTATGGGGCCTTCGGTGGAGCTCCCTATGGGGCCCTACGAAACGCTGCCCTGGGTGGGGGAACCGCATGCGAACACCCCCACTGGGGCCTTCGGTGGAGCTCCCTATGGGGCCACGAAGCGCTGCCCTGGGTGGGGGAACCGCATGCGAACACCCCCACTGGGGCCTTCGGTGGAGCTCCCTATGGGGCTACGAAACGCTGCCCTGGGTGGGGAACCGCATGCGAACACCCCCACTGGGGCCTTCGGTGGAGCTCCCTATGGGGCCACGAAACGCTGCCCTGGGGGGGAACCGCATGCGAACACCCCCACTGGGGCCTTCGGTGGAGCTCCCTATGGGGCCACGAAACGCTGCCCTGGGTGGGGGAACCGCATGCGAACACCCCCACTGGGGCCTTCGGTGGAGCTCCCTATGGGGCTACGAAACGCTGCCCTGGGTGGGGGAACCGCATGCGAACACCCCCACTGGGGCCTTCGGTGGAGCTCCCTATGGGGCCACGAAACGCTGCCCTGGGTGGGGGAACCGCATGCGAACACCCCCACTGGGGCCTTCGGTGGAGCTCCCTATGGGGCTACGAAACGCTGCCCTGGGTGGGGGAACCGCATGCGAACACCCCCACTGGGGCCTTCGGTGGAGCTCCCTATGGGGCCACGAAACGCTGCCCTGGGTGGGGGAACCGCATGCGAACACCCCCACTGGGGCCTTCGGTGGAGCTCCCTATGGGGCACGAAACGCTGCCCTGGGTGGGGGAACCGCATGCGAACACCCCCACTGGGGCCTTCGGTGGAGCTCCCTATGGGGCCACGAAACGCTGCCCTGGGTGGGGGAACCGCATGCGAACACCCCCACTGGGGCCTTCGGTGGAGCTCCCTATGGGGCCACGAAACGCTGCCCTGGGTGGGGGAACCGCATGCGAACACCCCCACTGGGGCCTTCGGTGGAGCTCCCTATGGAGCCACGAAGCGCTGTAATGGGTGGGTGAAACGCAGAGAGGAGGGAGGAGAGGGAGGAGGAGGGAGGAGGAGGGGGAGGAGGAGGAGAGGAGGAGAGGAGGAGAGGAGAGGACGCGGGCACCGTCTCTTCAAAACGAGGACCCAACACCACAGGATGGTTGGGAATAACATAATCAGAAGCTCGTCCCCAGACAATTTCCCAACCATCCTGTTGTGCTTGGTCCTCGGTTTGAAGAGACAACGCCCCGCAATCCTCCTCCTCTCCTCCTCTCCTCTCCTTTCCTCCTCCTCCCTCCTCCGCAATTCGCAAGCGTCCCCCACACCCAGTACACCGCTTCGTGGCCACATGGGGAGCTCCACCGAAGGTTCCAGACGCGCAGTCCGCATGCGTCTCCCACACCCAATACAACGTTTCGTAGCCCCATAGGGAGCTCCACCGAAGGTCCCAGTGGCGCAGCCCGCATGCGTCTCCCACACCCAGTACAACGTTTCGTGGCCCCATAAGGGAGCTCCACCGACGGTCCAAATGGCGCAGCCCGCATGCGTGTCCCACACCCGGCACAGCGTTTCGTGGCCCCATAGGGAGCTCCACCGAAGGTCCCAGTGGCGCAGCACGCATGCGTGTCCCACACCCAGTACAGCGTTTCGTGGCCCCATAGGGAGCTCCACCGAAGGTCCCAGTGGCGCAGCCCGCATGCGTCTCCCACACCCTGCACAGCGCTTCGTGGCCCCATAGGGAGCTCCACCGAAAGTCTCAGTGGCGCAGCCCGCACGGGTCTCCCACACCCGCTGCCCCATAGGGAGCTCCACCGAAGGTCCAAGTTGCGCAGCCCGCATGCATCTCCCACACGCAGTACAGCGCTTCGTGTCCCAATAGGGAGCTCCACCGAAGGTCGCAGTGGCGCAGCCCGCATGCGTCTCTTACACCCAGTACATCTTTTCGTGGCCCCGTAACGAGCTCCACCGAAGTCCCAGTGTCGCAGCCCGCATGCATCTCCCACACCCAGTACAGCGCTTCGTGGCCCCATAGGGAGCTCCACCGAAGGTCTCAGTGGCGCAGCCCGCATGCGTCCCCCACACCCAGTACAGCGCTTGGTGACCCCATGAGGAGCTCCACCGACGGTCCACATGGCGCAGCCCGCATGCGTCTCCCACACCCTGCACAGCGTTTCGTGGCCCCATAGGGAGCTCCACCGAAGGTCCAAGTGGTGCAGCCCGCGTGCGTCTCCCGCACCCAGTGCAGCGCTTCGTGGCCACATAGGGAGCTCCAAATGCGTCTCCCGCACCCAGTACAACGTTGCGTGGCCCCGCAGGGAGTTCCACCGAAGGTCTCAGTGGCGCAGCCCGCCTGTGTCTCCCACAGCCTGCACAGCGTTTCGTGGCCCCGTAGGGAGCTCCACCGAAGGTTCCAGTGGCGCAGCCCGCATGCGTCTCCCACACCCAGTACAGCGTTTCGTGGCTCCGTAGGGAGCTCCACCGACGGTTCCAGACGCGCAGCCCGCATGCGCCTCCCCCACTCAGTACAGCGTTTCGTGTCCCCATATAGAGCTCCACCAAAGCTCCCAGTATCGCAGCCCGCATGCGTCCCCGCCCACCCAGTGCGGCGGTTCGTGGCCCCGTGGGGAGCTCCACCGACGGTCCCAGGGGCGCAGCCCGCATGCGTTCCCCCCACCAAGTGCAGCGTTTCGTGTCCCAATAGGGAGCTCCACCGAAGGTCCCAGTGTCGCAGCCCGCATGCGTCTCCCCCGCCCGGTACAGCGTTTCGTGGCCCTATAAGGGAGCACTGCCGCAGACGAGACGTACAACTGCGGTATTCAACATTGCCATTGCATATGGTTGGGTCCTTCGCTAGGCTGATGTTTGACTATGTTTGAAATTTTCCCCCTGTAGAAGGGCATCCCCTGCTTAAATCTATACATCTCCACCGCTGCTGGCCAGGCCCATCCTGGGCGCAGGAACGGTGTGCAGGACTCCCTGGCAGGTCTGCGCTGGATCGGATCGCGACATCGGATCGGATCGAGAGCGGATCGAATCGCCAACGAGCCGGCCCGAATTGGATCGAAATCGCATCGCCGCGCCCCGCTTCTGGCTGGCCCTGGCCGATGCAAGTGAATAGAGCCGGATCGCATCGAATTGGAAGGAGGAGGAGGAGGAGGAGGAGGAGGAGGAGGAGCTGGATCGCATCGAATGGGAATCGCGGCCCCAGCAGGCGAATCGAAGCGCACTGAATCGCACCGTGGGCGGCCCTGCCTGGCCACGCCAGCGGGGCATGTTCGGTCACGAGCCTCCGCTTCGCGCGTCGCCGCGGCGGCCCCGGCGCAACACGCTGCGCCATGCGAGCGGATGGCGTGCCGCCCCGCTCCGCGGGGCGGGAGGCTCGGGAAAGCTCGGGTCATGTTGCTCCCATCGTCGTACTCAAGGACTTCCTCCCAGAAAGTCGCCGGCCCCACGGGCCAGAGGCGTGCTAAGATCTCCGGTAACTGTTTAACAGGATTCTACTTCGCGCGCGCGTGGCGGCCCCTGGGGGTCCCCGGACGAAAAGTACCCCGGCCGATCCCCGGCGGATCCCCGGGCGATCCCCGGCCAGGTTCCCCAGAAAGCTCCAGGGGAGGGCAATTTTTCGACACCCCTCACGAGGATCGTGGCTTCTGAGGGGGGAGCCGCAGTCGATCACCCCTCCTCTCGCCCCCGCGAGCTTCCCAAGAGGCTCCAGGGGCCCCCAAGATGCCGCCAACGAGCTCCAAGAGGCCTCCAAAAAGCTCCCAAGAGGCCCATAAGAGCCCCACAAGAGGCTTCAAAGTCGCTCCCATGTGCTCCCAAGAGGCCCCATCCGCCCCCAAAAGCGCTCCTGAGAGGCTCCACCCGCTCACAAGAGCCTCCCAAGAGGCTCCACGGGCCTTCAAGCACGCAAGCAAGTGCCAGCGATGCTACAATATGGGCCGGCGGAATAAGCGAAGCGATTGAATAATTTCAAGCACCCAGAACAGTATCGAAACGGTGTCGAACGAGTATCGCCTCCCAGGGCCCGACACGTGAAAGCCCACCAGTTTGGGTACTTTCTTGGTGCTCGAACTTCTTTCTGGTGATCAAGGCTGAAGCAGGTTGGGACATCATAAAGCTCGGGACGAGGATAGCGAGTCGCGCCGCAGCGTGGTGGGCCAGAAGCGGCGGAGCGACGCGCTGACCAAGAACTCCCGACCATGCGCCGCTCCTGGACCCAGGATGGGCCTGGCCGGCAGCGGTGGAGAGACATGGATCTCGTCGCCCTGCTCGGGCGCGGTCTAACCGACCCCTGGCAAACCATCTTCTTCCGTGACGTCATCCTCGCCTCTCAAGCCGGTTTGCCAGGGGTCAGGTGCAGTCGAAACGCTGCCAGAAGGAACCCTGAACAGGGAACGAGGCCTCTTCCGATAAGGTAAAGCTTCGACTTCCCATAGAAAACCGTAACCGAAGGAACACCCGAGAGAAAAACTGCAAAACAGTTAGGGAGCACTGAGCCCCTCCCAAACGAAAAGGGTTCCCTCTTCAGCGGCTCGACTGCATGCGGAGACCAAACGGTACCGACATCGCTACTCCCCGGACCTCTCCCAGGGTGCGTTCTGATCAAAATTCCGAGGCGCATCCTGCAGTGGCGACGAGGGCAGCCCAGGAGGCCGGAGAAAAAGGGAAAATGAGGATAGGGTAGAGGCCTGGGTACCTTTTCCTCCTCTGAGCCGTCGCGATTTTTCCCCAACGTCGACCTCCAAAGATCTGGACCCCTTCCCCGGGACCGGTGTTTCGTCCTGAGTCGTTTTTCGACAATCCCGAGGCCAGGTAAGGCCCTCCGTAGGGCGAAAATAGCGAAAAACCTCCGTCGACCCATACCAGAAGGACGCACGAGAAGGATGCAAGGGCCTTAGAAGGCCGTTTCGAATCTTGTCGAGCGGGTCGCGGCCAACGAAAGTGGCCAAGGATGGACCGAGGAGACCCTCGGGAAACTTGCCCATCCTTACAATGGAGCTCCAGGTTTTTTAACCACATAAAGCGCGTTATGTGGTTGAGTGGGTTCGCTGGCACATAACATAACACATTTGTGCCCGGCCGCTCGAATTGTTTTTTGTCCTGAAAGCGCTGTCACTGTGGCGATTCTTTGTGCTGATGTAGCATTGAGGGCTGGCTGTAGGCCTTCCATTGGAGCAGGAACCGACCGTCCTGGCATTCCTATAGGCCTACCACGAAATTGTCATTGAACCCAACAATGTTCTGAGAACAAAAAACAATGTTCTTAGAACATGAACCCGATGTGTTAAACCAAGACGGTCCCCGCCAGAACTGTTCTGAGAACATCTCGTGCAGACCACAGAAGGTTCTTAGAACATTCTTTGGTGGCCCTATCGGCGAGCCAAGACGCTTCTAATTGCACCGACCTTGCTGAACTGGACTTTTGCGTGGATTTCTGTCAATGCAAGACCCCGAAACGGCGAGTGAAAAACGAAGTGAATTTCGCGTGGATTCTTGCTCAGTCTTCTTCCTGGCCAAAATCCTCCTCGATCCTGTCGTTTTCCGAACGAAATCCGTTCTGCGATGCTGGCACCATGACGGAGGAGGAGGAGGAGGAGGAGGAGGAGGAGGAGGAGGAGGACGACGAGGAGCAGCAGGACAAGGATGAGGAGGACGATGATGAGGATGAGGCTGATGGTGAGGAGGAGGAGGCGGAGGAGGAGGTGGAGGAGGGGGAGGCGGAGAAGGCGGAGAAGGCGGAGGAGGCGGAGGAGGTGGAGGAGGAGGAGGGGGAGGAGGAGGAGGAGGAGAAGGAGGAGGAGGAGCAGCAGGACAAGAATCCGGAGGACTAGGATTGATCGATCGGCGGCTCGTCGGCGGCTCGTCGGCGCCCGGATCCCCGGCCCACCGCCCACGCTCGGCGGCTCGTCGGCGTCCTGCGGGCCGAACAGCTCGGGGCCCGGCGGCACGGCCGCGGCGCCGGCGCGGCCGCAGCTCGTGGCGGGCAGGCCGGCCCAGACCTCGTCGGGCGGCACCTGCTCGCCCTTGAGCACCTGGCTGTTGACGACGACGACGACGACGCCGACGACGACGACGACGACGACGACGACGACGGCGGCGACGACGACGACGACGACGACGCGACGACGACGATGCTACGACGACGACGGCGACGGCGACGGCGACGACGACGACGACGACGCCCTACGACGCTACGACGACGAGGACGGCGACGACCTGGCTGTTCTCGAGCACGACGACGGCGGCGACGGCGACGGCGACGGCGACGGTCACGGCGACGGCGACGGCGACGGCGACGACGACGACGACGACGGCGACAACGACCTGGCTGTTCTCGAGCACGACGGACCCGTCGCCCGTGACAGCGCCCGGGCTCACCTCTCGATCGGGGAGCGCCCCGCCCCGAGATCCTGGCGGAGCAGTCCTTTCACAGCAGGCGTCGTCGACCAGGCTCGAATAAGGACGCAGATCGATCTGGCTTGAACAGGCTTTCACGACAGGTGATCCACATGTTTCGCCCATGCTCTTTTCAAGACAGGCGTTGTCGCCCCGGGACCCTCACGGATCGATCCCGCTCGAAACAGGACGCGGAAAGATGGGGTCTAGGGTTCGAGGGGTGATTTTTCGCGACGCTTCAGTTTTCTTTGCAACGCCAGGTCTCAGGGAAGAGGGAGGCGTCCAAGAGGGGGGGCTGCAAATCATGGCCAGAGGCATGTGCGCGGACCAGGTAGGCTGAGTGCATGGCGACGGGGGAGTCGCGCGGCAGAAAGGAGAGACCCAATGACCCCGATCATCCATGGGCGGCGCGCACACGGGGGTGGAGGGAGGGGGGAGGGCTTCTCAGCTTAGAAGCAGGGGTGCTTCTAATCGGGGGCGGCCAAGAGGAGGGCGTTCAAGAGGGGAGGGCGCAACTCATGGCCAGCGGCGTGTGCGCTGCCCCTGGGGGGACAGGGACGTAGTTAATGAAATAAGAAGAGGCGCCATGAAATCTGAGGAAATCTCGTGGCCGACGCCATGATACCCCCCTCCCTCCTTGTTATCACCCCCCTCTTGGCCGCCCCCGATCCAAGAAGCCCTCCCCCTCCTCGCACCCCCCTCTGCGCGTGGCCGAATCCAGCAGAGGGGCTGGAGAGGGCAGGGGGGCACGGGGCAGGCGGGGCGGCCCGAGGAGGTGTGTGCGCGGACGAGTGGGGGCGGGGGGAGGAGGAGGAGGAGGAGGAGGAGGAGGAGGAGGAGAGGAGGAGGAGGAGGAGGAGGAGGAGGAGGAGGAGGAGGAGGAGGAGGAGGAGGAGGAGGAGGGGGAGGAGGAGGAGGTTCTCAGAAGCCCTCCAGCCTGCTGCGAAGCCGCGTCTGTTTTCCGAGGGAAGGCTCAGAAGGCCGGAGGCCTTCAGAGCCTCCTGAGCAGGCCCGGCCCCCTCTGACGTCCCCCCTGGGCTCGCCGCCGACCCGCGGATGCGCGGTCGCACGGATGCGTTCCGCGCGGGGCATCCGCGAAAGCACGCCCCGCATCCTCGGGCGAGGTCGCGGTCCCCCGGGGCCTGGTCCGGGAGGCCGTGGTCGGAGGTGAGGGGGTGAGATCGCAATGAAACGGAGAGTCCCCCACCAGGAAATCCAGGTGTCGGAAACAATTAAGCAACACTCATGCGGAACACATGTTTTGAACTCCCCCCCCCTCCCCCCAAATGCAATGTTGGTTTCGAACCTTCCGATTTTGGGACTCCGAGTGGTCTTCAAGCAACGTGCCAGTTTTGAATTGCGGGCGGGGGGGGAGTGTTGCTTATTTTCTTCCCTCAACCGTCGGTTTCGGTTTCGTGCTCGTGTCGTGCGCGCGGGCGAGACGAAGCTGCGTGGGCGGGCGAGAGGAATGAACCCTCCTCTGGCCAGGGCGCCGCCGGGCCAAGAGACCGCCTCCCCCGGGTTGCCCAGCGGTGGCCGGGGGTGTCCCGCGGCGAGTATCCTGTCGGTGCCCCGTCGGTGTCTCGTAGTGAGTTCGATCGTGAGATCCATAGTGTGATCGATAGTGAGATCGACCGCGGGATCGATAATGAAAAGGATAGTGGGATCGTCAGTGATATCGATATTGAGATCGATAGTGCGATTGATAGTGAGATCGATCGTGAGATCGATAGTGTGAGATCGATAGAAGGATCGATAGTAATATCGATAGTGAGATCGATAGTGGGATCGATACTGAAACCGATAGTGAGATCGATCGTGAGATCGATTCAGATCGATTGGGTGAGACGATAATTCCTCCCCCCACCCGAGCCTCCTTATTACCCGAAGGGTGGTCGTACAGGAACGGATCTGTTTTCGCCCACGATCACCATCGAGTGGGACAGCATGGACGTGTAAGCCCCCAGGTACGTGGGCACCAACTTGATCACCATGTTCTCCACCGTGTGGCAGGTCGTGTCGCATTCCCAGCCGACCGAGGAGCAGTCTCCGATGTGGAGCAGGTCGTACTCGAACGCGAGGCCGAACAGGCAGCAGTTTTTTCCAACGGTAGCCCCCATAGCACGGTAGTACCAGGCTTTGAACAGGGTTCCGGCCAACGCATCGAGCGTGTCCTCCATGGCGCCCGCAATGATAAGCATCGCCATCCAGATGATGTGGTAGCGGCTGAAGAACGCGTAATCTCCTTCCTCGTACCTTCCGACCAAGCACCACTTGAGGGCCCAGTTCAAACACAACGTGGAAAGATTCACTGCGAAGAAGACGATCGGGAGAACGGCCAGTGCAATCAACCAGCCAGCAGACCCAGAGACGCAACCATGCAGCGCATATGTGGCCAGCCAGACATACTGAGGCAGGGGGGCGCAAACCAGCGCGCAGCCAGCGAGCACCATATTGAACCCCCAGAACTGCACGTCCGAGTTGAGGCGGCGCATCGCTTCGCGCTCGTTGGCCGACGCCTCCTCTGAGGCGGCCTGGAATCGCAGCCGCACGGGCTTTCCTCCAACCTGGCCCGTGCTGATGCTCTCTGGTGGGAAGTAGCCATCCTGCGGTGCCAACGTGGCAGAGCCCAGCACCGCACGCTCGCCGATCCGGCTGCCGGACAAGACGCAGCAGTGGTCCAGGACATTGCATCCCCGGTGAAACCGGACCTCCACTCTGGCATCGTCGCTCTGGCACCACACCGACACCACGGAACCGAAGACAACGTCGTCTTCTATGATGACGCAGTCTGGGTCCGCACAGAAGAAATTGTCGATCTGAACTCGACGGCCGACCTTCATGCCGAGAAGACGGTAGATAACGCTCAGCCCCTCTGTGCCCACGAGCATGTCTGCGGCCGTGTCGTACATGCGAGCGCTGATGGCTTGCTCGTGCAGCCAAGAGCGGAAAGCGTCCCACTGGCTCGCCCAGGTCTGCTCCTTCGACGGCAGCGGCCCGGGCCCCAGGCGGCCCACCACGGCGCGCTTCTGCAGCACCGTGAGCGCCACGAAGCTGAAGGCCGTCAGGTGCCGGAACAGCACTGGCGCCAGCAGCCACCACATCGCCCGCCGATCGCCACACCTGAGGGGCAACGTTCGGGGAGCACCGGCTCGGGTTAGGTCGGGCATGTACTCCTACAGGCAGATTTGGAAGACATATAAAACATAGTATCAAACAAATGCCAAATATAGCTGAAAGAGCACGAGACATCGTCCCCAGGCTGTATTCTTCTTGGATTTTCATCCTCTAGAGGGACATGCCAGACTTAAGACTTGGGGACCCGCAAGGAGCCCCTGATATAGCGGATCCACAAGTTGTTCTCGGAGGGGCGGCGGGGCGGGGATGTCGGACCCCTAGTATCGGCCAGGAAAGGGCGACTGGAGTGGGAGGAGGAGGAGGAGGAGGAGGACGACGACGACGACGACGACGAGGTCGATGCCCCCTGTGAGCCTCTCCCCCCGAAAGTTGCGCAGTGGGTTTCGGGCCATACCTGCGGCCTCTGGCGGCCGTTCGGGACGAGCTGGGCACCCCCTGGAACGCTCACGGCGAGGCGCGGCTGCTGGAGAGCATTCCGACGCTGGATGAGCGCCGAGAGCAGACGAGAACGTCTGAAAACCTCGCACCTTGAAACTCACAAGCGCTGTCGTTGCCTCCCTGGGCCCATTCCCGCCCCCTGACGTTGCCCCTGAGAAAGGGCCTCGAGGAGACGCCACGTCAGCGAGGAGGCGGGCCCCCCAAGAGCACTCCAGAGAGCCTCCCCGAGACGGCCCCAAACAACATCCAACAGACCTCCTCGAGCCTTCGATCCTGGAGCCTCGGCCTCCAGGAGGAGCTGGTGACGCCTCCAGTGGTGCTCCCCCTTGTGGCGGCGAGCCCAAGGGGGGAGGGGAGAGGGGGCATAGAGGCCTCCTGGATAGGGCCCGAGTAAATGGGGCCCGCAGGCGGATTTTGGGCGAAAGAACATCTTCAACCAACACTCGAAAATTGTCAAGAGTAGTCAAACATCGTCCCCAGACGATTTTGCTCTTAACCCAGACGATGTTGTAAAACTATGATTTAATGTTCCTCCTGTAGAGGGATATGCCCGACTTAAGGCTCCTCCGACGGCGCAAGGGCTCCTGCGCAGCTCTGCCGCCTCCAGAGCAGGCCTTCCCCCCCCCCCTCCGCCCTCCCCCATCCCCCTTCCCCCCCCCCACACACACCCCGGGCTCGCCGCCGAGCGGTGACCCCAGAGGAGGAGGAGGAGGAGGAGGAGGAGGAGGAGGAGGAGGAGGAGGAGGAGGAGGAGGAGGAGGAGGAGGACCATCCCCCATTGGCGCTGCCCGCGCACCACTCGTGGAGGGCCTCGAGGGCGAGGACGGCAGGGGCCACGGCCAAGCCGTGGAGCAAGAGCACCAGGGGCAGCCCGACCGCGAGGCGCAGCGTGTCCTGCATCTGGGGCGCGAGGCGCTCAATGTCGGACTCCTCCTCCGGGCAGGAGGAGGCGGAGGAGGAGGAGGAGGAGGAGGAGGAGGAGGAGGAGGAGGATAAGGAGGATAAGGAGGAAGAGAAGAGGAGGAGGAGGAGAGAGGAGGAGGAGGAGGAGGAGGTGCACGCGGAGCAGATAAGGAGGAGGAGGAGGAGGAAGAGGAGGAGAAGGAGGAGGACGACGAGGAGGAAGAGGAGGAGAAGGAGGACCAGAAGACGACCTCCGAGCCCTGCCCCCGCCCACCCCTCGGTGTTTCTCCTGCATCGACAGGGGAACAAGCAATGACATAAGCATGAGAAAAACTCGGAGGTCCGCGCGGATTCCTCGGATCGGCGCCAGGGCCCCCCTGGCGGCGGCTCTGGCGCTGCCCCTGGCTCGCTCCGCGCGCCACGCAGAGGGGTCCAGCACCGATATGTTCATGTCATTGCTTGTTCCCCTAATCGAGGGGAGGCGGAGGCAGGGTTCGGATTTCGCCGCATGCTCGACGAATTCTCAGCCCCACCCTTGCCGTCCATCAAGCTGCTCGAGAACCGTTGATCGGCGAGAGTATACGGCAGGTTCGTGTCGTGACGACCCTGGCGTTGGTTCCTGACACCGCGTGGATCGTTCAACCTTGAGCGCTCCGCGGGTTCCCGATCGCCAGGTGGTTCCATAATGACCCGATTCTGGGCCCCTGCAGGCGATCAACCTTGAACGCCCGCTGCGGGGTCGCCGCCGAGTCGACACGACACGAACCTCCCACAGGGCTCGAGTGCCGCGGCCGATCCCAAGGGCGGCGCGCCGGGGGGGGGGGGGGGGGAACTGCGACAAGGGGGGCAGGGCGGACCGCGGGTTCTCGGCGGTTTCTCTCGGCCTCGGGAAGCGTTCCAGCAGCCGCGCCTCGACGAGAGCACACAGGGGGTGCCAGCAACGTCCGGAGTGGCCAACGGAGCGCCGATCCTCCTTCTCCTCCTCCTCCTCCTCCTGCTCCTCCTCCCCCTCCTCCTTCTCCCTCACTACCTCCTCCTCCTCCTCACTTTCATATTATTGTTAGTATTATTATGGATTGTCTTCTTCTTCATATTATTATTATTATTATTATTATTCCTCCTCCTCCTCCCTCACTGCCTCCTCCTTCTCCTTCTCCTCCTTTCCCTCCTCCTCCCTCCTGCCATACTACCTCCTCCTCCTCCTCGTCCTCCTCCTCCTCCTCCCTCTCCCCCTCCCTCTCCCCCTAGTCCCTCACAACCTCTTCCCCCTCCTCATCCTCCTCCTCCTCCTGCTCCTGCTCCTGCTCCTCCTCCTCCCTCATCATCATCACCACCATCCTCTTCTTTTTGTGTGACATTATTGTTCTTCCTACTATCAATGATATTATTAATCTTAGTCTTGTTATTCGTATTTTTCATTTCTGGATAGTAGTAGCAGTAGTCGTCGTCGTCGTAGTAGCAGTAGTAGTGGTAGTGATAGTAGTAGTGGTAGTGATAGTAGTAGTCGTCGTCGTCGTCGTCGTCGTCGTCGTCGTGGTAGTAGTGGTAGTAGTAGTAGTAGTAGTAGTAGTAGTAGTAGTAGTAGTAGTAGTAGTAGTAGTAGTAGTAGTAAGTAGAAGTAGTAGTAGTAGTAGTAGTAGTAGTAGTAGTAGTAGTAGTAGTAGTAGTAGTAGTAGTAGCAGCAGCAATAGTAGTAGTAGT